AGAACCAGGATTCAAGTTAAATTCTACACACTGTAATTGGCATCTCTCCAGTCTCTTTTTAACTTAAGAATTCCCTGGTTACTGTATCTTGCTTTTGTTTTTTTTCTTATAATTTATTTTTTTCAAAATCAACAACTTCTCAAATTTATTTTTTCTTAAAGAAGTATTTCTAATCTCTAGCAAAAGAGAGGTGAGGAAAGTTCCCCTTCCCTTGAAAACACTGAAATACAGATCTTTGAAATCAGGTTTGACATACAAAAAGTGCATTCAATAAAATATCAACAAAATATATTTTACATAAATTATGCTTCCATTGAAAATCTACCAGCTGCATTGTTGGGTTTCAAAAAAAAATTTCCACAGCTAAGAGATTTCAAAAGCATTTAAATCCTGGGCAGCAGACCCTGCCTTCCAGGAGGACAAGCCTTGATCTCAGGCAGCACCCTGGGAATGAGGGGCTCCACGGCTGGCTCTCCAGAGTCCTCGCTGCAAGTTGGCCAGCCTCTCTTATTGCCTTGCCCTTCCAGGCTTATGCCTCCCTCCAGACAGCTTACTCAATACAAGGACACCAGGTCTCTTCCCTTCAGGAATGGGAAATGCATCTCTGAGGTCTCCAGGCCCACCCAGCCCAAGGACCAGACAGGAGCAATCCATCTTCTAGGATCAGGACAGGGTTCAGCGGTGCCCTCAGGATTTACTTTCATTTCCCTCTGTGGCTCCTGTGGATGTCCTCACCCAGTGCCACCTCTCCAGCCTGCTGGACCTATCTGCTCTCCCTGGGGGAGGACCCTGGGCTGCCTTCCTTGGCTCTGCCCCTATGGAAGTGTTCACTTAGCAGATTCCAGCACCACCAGATCCAAGCCACAATGCACCCTCTCCGTCTCCCCACCATGCTCCTCTTTGGTACAAATAAGAAATAACTAGGTCTCTAGTCCCTCACAGAGAGCACAGAGTCAGAGCTGGTCTAGTCCAGAAGAGGAGCTCATCAGTCTACAGTGTGAGGTGAGACAGGGCATCTGGCTGGGCGTAGAACACAGTCAAACTGCAGGCCCACAGCTCCTCACATGAGCTGCTGCAGCTCAGCAGGTCTGTGGACTGCAGCAGTGTTATTCTGGCTGGGACATAAATTAGTGCAACTACCAGAGTAGGGGAACGAGTAGGGCTAGGGAAGCCACAGTGCTCCTTTGGTTTGATTTCAGGTGGCTATGGTTTGAAGAGTCGTGTGTGTGTGTGTGTGTGTGTGTGTGTGTGTGTGTGTGTGTGGTTCTGCATGAGGTTGCCCAAAACCTGCAAGTGTAAGGTAAGAGGAAAGATCTTCAAGTCAGATAGTAATTTTCCGTGGCCCTGCCCCACCCTGTCCCAGCACCCATGTGCCCTCCCAGACATAACAAAGTTCACTATGATTAGTTATCTCTCTGGGAAGCCAGACCTGTTGGGTGGCCCTTAACAGGAGGCAGATGGGAAGCTGACTCCCACAAGTGGGCCACCCACCACTGTTAAGAGCTGGGTCAACTTGTCCCAGCACTAGTGGCTCTTGCAGAGACAAAGGAGAAAAGCCAGGGTAAAGCCCCAAGCCCAGGAAGAGGAAATCAATGCTCTGGCTCTGTATGACTCAAAAGGACAAGCTCAGAGCTGGGAGAAGTTGGCCACAGGCTGACAGGGAAGCAGCCATCACAGTGGGTGAGGTAACACTCGCTCCCACACTCATGGAGGGCTACAGAAGGGCCTTTTGGGCCTGGTTCCTGCAGCACATTCTCCTCCTCCCTGCCAGCTGCCCTCTTACTTGTGTCCCTTGGACATAAGCCTGCCTCAGGCAAGGCTGCTTCTTCAGGATGTCCACCCAGGAAACCATGGACCAGAAACCCTGGGCCAAGTGGAGGGCTCTGATGCTTTTCTATGCTCTGATCTCCCCTCCCTCCCAGGGACCCAAACCCATAGCAGTCCTTCCTTTACTGCCAAAAGAATCACAGTACAGCAAGCTAGACCTGTGCCCCTTAATGAAGTGCTGCACTTCAAACAGTGCCTCCGACCCAGAAGCCCACTTGTTCATGCCCAGCCTCAGTGCAGGCAGGAGGAGGCTACTGCAGGTGCTTCAGGGTGCTTGCAGGATTTTGTACTGCATCTCATCGATCAAATCCCATGCTATATTTAGTAGTAACTTTGCCCTAGCAAATGGTGATTGGACCTATCGACATGATCAGATTGCATTTGATTCTCATTCCTCTTCTCCCTGCCCCAAGAGTATGTAGTCCTTTGGGACCAGTCTATTCCTGAAGGGGGAATAGGGATTGAAGCTGAGAAGGCTGTGGAATGGGAGGTGTAGATGGCCACTGAGCTACCAACCCCCAGTAGGCATCTGTGGGCAGTTACCAGGTGATCAACCACAAAATGGCCACTTGTCACCATGTAACAGGGAAGCACAAGATGGCAACTGGCTACCATGAGACCCACAACAAGATGGTTACTGCTGGCTACACGGTGAAGAAGCGCAAGATGTGACGGGTCATTATGTGACCTGCCAGAAGATGGTTGCTGCTGATCCTATGATGAGGGACTGCAAGATGGTGGCCATTTATTCTGTGACCTGTTATAAGATGGCGATGCACCATCACATGTTGGAAGACCACAAGATGGTGGCTCTCCTCCATGTGAGCTGCAGCAAGATGGCTGCTGAAGACCATGTGATATGGGATCGCAAAATGGTGTCAAATATCATTTGGCCTGCTAGATGGCTGAAATGCATGAGACTGAATATAGTGAGCTGGCAGGGAAATGGCCATGCAAGAGTAGTGGGGATGGAAGTGGGGCCATCTGACAAGACAGATAATTCAAGGTGAGGGAACTGAGTCTGAGAGCAAGGAGAGGAAGTGAAGGAAGAGTTAGAGGCTGCTGGGGGTAAGGAAAAGGAGGAGAATGAAACAGGAGGCTCAGAGACCTGTGGTTGAAAAGGCTGAGGGTTTGGACTTGGGGATATGGCAGGAGCAGTAAAGACAGGAGGCACATCATCTAAGGGGTCTGGTGGGGGGAAAGGGAGAGATCTGGGTGAAGCAGAAGTTGGGCCATTGCACAAGACAGAATGACAGAAGGACACGTCTTCAAAGTGAAAAAGGCCTAAAAATAAAGGGGTTTCTGCCAACTTGCCACCATTGTGACAAAGTATAAATAAAAGATCAGCTTTTTGGTTTTCATAGCCTTTTTGAGGCCAAGAGCACCAATGTTATGAACCAGGCATTCCAGAGGTGTGTCTTTTGGGGGACAGGAAATGGTCCCTATGACCATTTCCTATGAACTGAGTTCATATAAGTGAACTGAGAGGACAGCTTTGCCTAGGGATATAAAAGCTTTAGCTACCCCCAAGGAACATGAAAGCTGTCCTGGATCACACCTATCTAAAGAAGTCATCACTTGTTTGGAAAGTGTGACATGGAAGGTCCTAACACCTGCTCTCGTTGGCTGTCACTGAGAGTGTGGGGCAGGGGCCCAGAGAACAAGAGGATAACAAGCTTGCCTTGAGCTGTCCTGCCCAAGGAATGTGAAAACTGCTATCTTTGGAAGGGATAGCAATGGATATGTTCTCTGATGTAAGCTTGAGAATTTTTAGAAACAAACAGAAAACCTCGGATGGCAGCTCACCTGTGATGAATGTGGAGGGGGTCGGTGATTAGCAGTGGCAAATAAACAGGTCCAAGAGGAAGGAAAGGTGGTTGATAGGCAGAGGAGCTTGAACTGGGAGTGACTCCCAAGAGCTAAGGGGCGCTGCCAATCTGAGTCATGGTACCAAAATGTTAGAGTTTTCTGGCACAATAGAAAAGCAAAAAGTACAAAAAAGATAAGAACAGGCTTACTGAGGACTTGAAAAGGAGCACACAGTCTATAGTGGTTGGGGTATCTGCTTTAACCGGATACAGAGAGAATACAGAGAGATAGAAAGTTATATGACTTCTGATCAGAAGTGGTACACGGAAAAGACATGATGACACGTGAGGAACTGATTGGAATTTTCTTTGTGTGCAAATAGGAAAGGGAGCTGCAATTAGGGCTGAAGAAGAAGCAGGAAGTGTTAAGTGTTTCCACTTTGGCCTTCCGCCATGTTAGACCACCGCCATAACTGTACAGTAATTTATACTAGGGCAAGAACCTTTCAGTTACAACATGGTAATATTCTATCACTTGTTGAAGGGAATACTTCTATGAAAAGAAAGTGCACTCACCTATTTTATGATTTCCCAGTGATATAATTTGTGTCAGAAATGCAGAATAAATGCTTGATTCTTTACTTGATATATTACCAAAACATTCAATTAGTTCTCAATATCCTACAAGGTTTTCCAGTAGGATTTTTACTTTTAAAATAACTGTATAGTTTTATGGATTTGAATATTGTTTCCCTTTATTGCAAATATTATTGCTGATGCTCAGATTGTCCCATATTTAACCAGTGACCCCATGACCCCTTTCAGTTGTACTTTCTGACATAATTCCTGTGTTAGTTTCCTAGGGATGTTGTAATAAATCACAACCCGAATGGCTTAAAAGAACAGATTTATTGTCTTACAGTCATGGAGGTGAAAAGATCAAAATCAGGATGTTAGGCTGGTTTCTTCTGGATACAGAACTTCTTCTTTGAGATACATTTTGTTTGTTTTTCTCCTCATCTCTGCATGATATTGGCAGTCCTTGATACTGTTTGGGTATTAGACACATCACTCCTCTCCATCCAGCAGCACGTGGTGATTCCTCTTCCTGTCTGTGGTAAGTCTATATTTCTCTCTTCAAGGGCAGAGGATATAGCTCAGCAGCACAGCACCTACCTGGCAAGTGTAAGGTTGTGAGTTCAGTTCCCAGTACCAAAAGTAACAAATAAACAAAGGCAAAAAATAGGCTTAGTTTTCTCTTCCTTACAAACACTGGTCATTGGATTAGGGCTCACAACAGCAAGCACTGCCCCCTTTCAAAGTTGATTACATCTTGTAAAAACTGCCTTTCCAAATGACGCCACAATCATGTTTGCAGGCACCAGGAATCAGACCTTGAAAATATATTTGGAGGGGATAAAATATAACCCACAACAATCCTGGTAGTCTGTAATAACTTTCATGATAAGACAAAATGATATAGAGCTACCTTTTCTCATTTCCTATTAATAGACCCATAATATAATATAGTATACTATAGGGTAGGATAGTATAGAATCAGCCCTTTTAACTTGAAAATGATATTTTGAGACCTCAATTTTACTACTAGGATGGCTTGTTACTGGCTTAGTCTGTACTTCTAAGCCATTTCAAATGCTAGAGATTGGAAATAATTTTATTTCTTACAGATAAAATAATTATAAATACGTAATACATATCAAATTCAAGATTTAACCTTATCAAACCTTACAACTTCTCTAATTGGAGAATGTCCTGGTTCTCAATAATACAGTGCATTTATTTTATTACACAACACACATAAAAACAATTTAAAATAATAAAACTAACAATATCAGCAACATTATTACTAAAAACAGTTTTAAAATCTTTAATTTTGCATTTCCCCCCACATTTACATTGACATTATTGTGTATTGTGTTAATACACAATAAAACTATTTTTCTGCGTAGTTGTGCCAAAAGTTTGGTGTACTTTCAGGGTTACTTCTTTAAATTTATTTTCAATTGTTAAGGTCTTTTACGAAAAAAAACCCTTTATTTGTAAGTATATGTCATGGTTTATGTTGGTGGCCCCCAGGCCTCATTCGTTTGCATTGTGCATTTGTGATTGGTTCATTGTCTAGTGCTTGGATTGGAGGTGTGAGTGCTACACTGGCCTATGGGTGGAGCCAGGATGTAATGTATTGGTAGGAAGAGGTTGTGTCTCTCTCTTGCAGGTTTCTGCCTTGCTGTTTACAGCCGCCATGAACTGCGGCCCTGCCACGCCACCCTGCCTGGGAGCCAACTAAATATGGACTGAAACCTCCAAAAACTGTAAGAAATAAACTTTTTTTTCCCTAACTTGGTGCATCAGGTATTTTGTCTCAGCGACGAGTAAAAAGTAACTAAGGCAGTGTAGTTTTAAGTTCATAACAAAATCAATAGGAAGTCACAGAATTTGGTATTGTTTTGTTTTTTACAAGCTACTGTCCTGACATGTGCATAGCTGCTGTCGTATCAATAGCCCCACCCAGAGTGCTATATTTATTACAAGTGATGAGCCTCCCAACGTACACACATCAGTACACATCATTGCACCTCATTATGGCTTGCATTAGAGTTGATCCCTGGCTTTATATCTTTTATGGGTATGAACAAATACAGAATCTTCAAAAAAATGTATATACATCAGGAAAAGAAAAACTAGTGTAAATATTTTAGTTCTAAATTTATTGAGACATCATGAGATTAGTACAAGTTACCTTTGGCTTGTACAAATATAAGAGGTACTCAAAGTGATAACCATTGCTTCCAGATACTTATTAGTATGGCAGACTGCTGAAGCATGTGTATATGTTTTGGTGGATTCTGTACATAATAACATGGATCTAAAGTTTTCTTTTTAAATTAACTTTTTCTCTTTAGAAGTATGTGGAACAGTTTCTGAGTTTGGGGTTCCAAAATCCAATCTACAATGCAAGGTGGAATGACAGAAACCTAGTTTCTGTGTCTGTCTTCTCTCTCCCTTAGAGATAATCGTTAAATAGTTTTCATTTTTCTGTCTTGCTATTCTGATTTCATATCCTACAACCTCGCTGAGCTTATTTATAATTGTTCATAGGTTTTATTCTTCTGTAATCCTTAGGATTTTGGGGGACCAGATAATGCTATCTGTGACTGGAGATAATTTTATTTCTCCCTTTCATTTCTTTTTTCTTGCTTGATTGTTCTGGCTAGAATCTCTAACACAATCTTGAGAAGGAATGGTGGGCATGAAATTCCTTGATTTTTCCTATACTCAGGAGATACCTTTTAATCTTTCACTATTCGGTATGATACTAACTGTAAGTTTTTCAAGAATGCCCTTTATTATGTTAAGGAAATGTTCCATTTCTAATTTGTTGAATGCTTTGGTCTCAAAAGAATGTTGAATTTTGTCATATAATTTCTGTGTCCATTAAAGTGATATTGTTTTTCATTTTTATTGTATTAATGCAATATAGTACATTGATTTTCAGCTGTTAAGCCAACTTTGCATTCCTGGAATAAAGCACAGTTGGTCACATACAAATTTTTAATTGTGTTGTTGGGTTTTGTCTGCCAGTATTTGTTGAGGATTTTTATGAGTCTATTCATAAGGAGATATTTATCTGTAGTTTTCTTGTCATGTCTTTTATTTTTGTCTCGAGGAAATATTAGCCTCATATAATGAGTTGGGAATTTTTCTCCACCTATTTCACGTTTTTAAAAATTTGTATTATGCAAAAATATATGTATTCTCATTTCTTCACATAGCCTTATAATGTCCCACACAGTAGATGTACCTATGTTTATTTGAGTAGTCTTTTATTTGAATTGTTTCCAGTTTTTCATTCAATGTTTTCATATTTTTGCCTCTGTATCTGTGGTATAGATTTGTAGAGACTGATGCATCAAAGAGTAAACACATCCGGAACATGTTTGACATTGCCAAATTCCTTTCTGTAAGGGATTAAGTCATTTTGCATTTTGTTTTTTAAAAAGTCATTATTTTTGCATGTTAGCTTCACTATCATTTTATCTAATCTTTTATGCCACTTTAGTAGCCATATTTCTTGAAAAATAGTAATTCCATATAGTTTTGATTTGTGTTATTTCATTATGAATGAGCTTACACATCATTTTATTAAGGGCCACTGTCTTTATAAACTATTTCTTAAAGTATTTGAGTTTTTCTTCTGTTTTTTAGAAACTTTATATTAAAGATCTTGAAAACCTTTGCAGTATACATTGCAAATATTTTTCCCTATTTCATATTAATCTTTTTAGTATGCTGATGCTTTTTTTCTTGTACTCTGCAAAAATTTCAACTGTTAATTTTTAAACTTTATCTTATTCCTTTCTGAATAAATCACTGGCATAACAATTACTCAGAAAGAATCTTGTTTCAGAGAAGCCAAGTTCAAGAATCTTAGTAGCTGAACACCCAGAAACCTTTACCGATCTCCTTCAGCGCCACCAATGCACACCTTTCCTCCATAACCACTATTAACACAGACATAACCAGTTAAACCACACATTTGTAAACGACATTCCTTCCTCTAACATAGAATCTATTTTCCTTTCAGAGGTTTGGTTGCCTTGGATTGAAAGAGATAACATGAGAGTGTGAACAGAATCCTAGGAATAGGGAAAGTTCCAGATAAAGAAAAACGCCCCCCAGTGCAAAATGTGGCTGACAAATGTCTTTCCTTTTAATGCCACTGCCATGAGAACAGAGAGATGTTTTCTTAAATGCACATCCCTTTTCTTAGAAGCTACTTGTAGCTTTCATCAGGACTTCTTCTGTAGAATAAAACAAAAACTTCAGGTCTGAAAGGTATCTCTAAGAGCATTTCTCAGGCTCATAGGTAATACCGAATTTCTTTTATTTGCATAGATTTAAAAGCAGTAGATATGCTAGCTAGTCATCGAATAAAAGTAAGAGAAGAACAGTCTGAATTTGCTTTCCTTCACATGTCCTGAGTTTTTTCAGATGCTCAGCACATAAATTGCACCTATCTCACACCTTTAGACATTTACTTTATTATTTATTTTTAAAAGTCAGTGATGAAATATTTAAGACAATTTTTAAAAAATCAAAAATCAACATAGCTGTAACAACATACATGCCACCTATCCTTTCATTTAAATTGCTACATGAACGTATGTTTTAAAATCAAACTTCATATGTTTGCTTTGAGAAACTCTCTGCATTATAGTAAATTATATAGATTTATGTAAAATGTGACCATATAATATACATGCAAATATACACTTGTTTTTTTCATATAGTTTTGAACAAAACTTGGATACAGTGTTTCAGGTTTTGTGGCCACTTTGCTCTTGGTCCTTACTTCCCGACCTATACTTCTGCAGAGCTTGTCCTTTCTTCTTCATTTGGTGACTTGCAAGAGAGGATACATTGTGCTTAATTTCTCTAATTGTCCCAAAGCAAGCAGTTGCTTTAAGAACAATGTCATTTAGTGCCCAACAAAGAGCACAAAGAAAGGGTCTTAAGTCTGGTTATAATTTGAAGCAGTCCCATTAACTTTAACATCCCCTTGTTACTGGGTTGTATTGAAGTTCCAAAAATCTGAACTTTATCTCTACATAGGAATTTAGACACATAATGTGCAAAAGTTGCAAGCAGATTATGACTCTGACAAATTAGTTCCTAATTATTTGGCTCTAGGCTGTGCCCATATTGCATGCAGAGCAGCCCTTTACCAGGACACTTGAAGAGTTTTGTTGCTTAAACTGATTTAATTTAAAACAAATGGATCCATGTGATTATCTCAACCACAAATACGTAACACAATGTGTAATATATTTAAAAGGCAAGAGGAAATTTAGTAATGGAATTTTAAAACTGTTTGAAAGAAAGAAACTTGAGGGAGAAAGAAAGGAAGAAGGGGATTGGTGACGCCAGCTTGATTAGTTTCAAATACCACAGCTGGACTTGAATTTGTACAATAAGGGTGCGTGGAGTTGTAAAGGCCACCAGCAGCAATCTAAATGCTGGGGTGCCACATGGAGGAATGAAATAAAAGGCTTCAGACACTCAGAAAGCTGCAAAATTCATTCACTCTCAATGTACTTTATTTCTTAGAAGGAAATTCTCTGATTTACATACTCTTCTCAGCGAATTATCTCGGTAGAAACAGTCCTGGTCGTGGTCACTTACTTAGTTTCTATTACTCAGTACTAACACACTGTAAGCAGTTCTGCACACATGCATTACCTATATACCAGATCCTATCGTGGTGATAATAACAGCTAACATTCATTGAATTCTTAGTACGCCCTGAGCATGGTACTGAGCACTGTGTCATCTCATTTAATCCTAAAATAATCCTGTGAGACTGATACTATTACAAACTTTCTCTGGCAGATAAGGAATGAATAGAGAAGTAACTTGTCTAAGATAAATACCTGAAAAGTCATCGTTAGCAGTTGTATGCCACTGCCCTTCCAGAAACGATATGCATTTTGTGAAAATGCTTTTGTGTAATAAAAGAACTTCCCAAGACCAGTAGATTTTGAATGAATATGTAGGACTAAGTATTTTATTTTACTTTATTTTAGAGTCAGTATTTTAGAACAATAAAATTAAAAGAGATTCTTGAGATATGGCAACAGGGTTTTTAAGCATTCATTTAGAAATGTAAATTTTTAGATATGTTTGAAAACCAACCATATTTATGAACAGTCATGACCACTAGACCAGATTCATGAGATTGCAGTATATAGCAATGTCCACAATTGACTATTTTTGATTCACAAAAGTTACAATTTTGTATGGTTCAATCTAACAGTGTTGCCACTTTTGAAAAGTGATAGATTCTTCTTAGGGACTGGAGTTATCTGTCCACTCATCCAGTGATATTGACATTTGGACATTAGGTTAGTCCTAGAATCACAAGCTATACACACACTGATTTTGCTCCCAAGAAATTGTCTTCAGCAGGAAATAGACATGTACACAAATCATTACAGTTTAAATAGAATGAATGCAGTCCTAAAGATCAACATAAAATGTCCCAGGATGTTGAGAAAAGGATGTGCATGTCAGCCTAGGGAGGGTAGAGCGGCTTTACACAGACAAACATGTAGCCAAGCTGCCATGGGTGAGCTGAAGTTTGCCACTGCCACTGAAAATGATATGAAACATATCCAGTGGACACAGCTCTTTTTTTTTTTTTTTTTTTTTTTTTTTGGTTTTTTTTTGAGACGAGGTCTTGCTATGCAGTTCAGGCTGGCCTTGAGCTCACTTTGTAGTCCAGGCTGGTCTTGAACTTGCAACAATCCTCCCA